CGTTGAGAGTATCACGGGGGCGTTGGCTATGGACACATTTGCACGTTCAATAGAGAGGGTGCTTGCGCTTGCAATGGCGACTCAGGCGGTCCGATAGTGTATAAGAGGAAATTGGTTGGTTTGGTTAATTGGGGGCAAGCCGGATATGCATGCGAGTATCATATACTATCGGGATTTCATTGAACTTTCGTTGGAGCAATGTACGCGACAGCGGTCATAACAATGTAGATGTGACGATATGTATGAGGCTGTGATTTTAAACTTTTTTTAAATTATTTTCCAATTACAATAAATATCATTTTTATTATACCCTGAACAGGGTATATCCATTTTGTCACGAAGTTTGTAACACCCAGAAGAAAGCGTCGAAGACCCTATAAAGTATATATATACATGATCAGTATGTTGAACTGATTCGATTTAGCCATGTCCGTCTGTCTGTATATATACGAACTAGTCCCTCAGTTTTTAAGATATCGTTTTGAAATTTTGCAAACACCATTTTCTCTTCAAGAAGCTACTCATTTGTCGGAATTGCCGATATCGGATCACTATAACATATAGCTGCCATATAAACTGAACGATCGGAATCAAGTCACATTTGACAATGTATCTTCACTAAAGTTGGCACAAGTTATTTTCTATGGCAACAATATAATCTCGAAGAAATTGTTCAGATCGGTTAACTATAACATATAGCTGCCATATAAACTGAACAATGGGAATCAAGTTCATGTATGGAAAACTTCACATTTGACTTGGATTGCTGCTTAAGGTAATAATATAATCTCCGAAAAAAATTTTCAGATCGGATTACCATACAAACTGAACACATAATTACTAACAGAAATGCACCTGTGAAGGGTATTTAGCTTCGGTGCAACTGAAGTTAACGTTTTTTCTTGTTATTTATATAGAATAGTTGGAAATTAGTGTTTGAATTCTAGTTCTTTATAGTTTACCTTTATTTTTTATTTTTATATATTTCCCATTTTTCTGGTCTGATAAATGTTATTATCATTCTCTTACACAACTTTTTGATATACAATACTTTAATCATCGGACACTTAAAGCTTTACGGTGGTTCATGCACCGTGATTCATCATTTTCTTTCATTACCTTGATGTAGCTCACCATGAACTCGTTCAAACAGTCAATATTAAATACTGCTTGAAGTTTTGGGGCGTCAGAAAATTCATATAGTTTTTACCACTATAAGCGCTGTCACATTTTTGCATGACTGGCATTGACCTTTTGGATAAGCACAGAACAAGAGTCATCGCTCAGCCAACATATTCATCAAATTTGGTTCCCTGTGATTTGCTTATGTTTTCAAAATTGTAAAATCCGCTATAGGGAACCCGAAATGAGTTCATTACAGCAACTGAAAGTCATTCGCTTAAGGGCCTAAAGGCTGTCCGAGGTTCATAACTAATGTATGGAAAATTTGATTAAGTGTTGGTGTGCTTGCTTTTGCTCTCAGCCCATTTTGAAGTCTATAATAAAATTTTTTATTAAAATACGTAAAAACCTTCAGACCGGGTAAAACTTGATGGCATATACATATATAATTAATGCTAACATCATTGCTATGGAATTATGTATATGTGTTGCGTTTTTTCCTGGCCTTGATGGTACACCTGAAAGAAAAACCTTTTGCGAGTTTCTCAAATGAATTTGGGGTTCAGCAGAGACTGCTTAGGGCCAGCCATTACTGTAGAAACTCTTTTTTGAAAGTAGTCAACAAATCAGATCGATCTTAGGAACAGAGAGTTGTATGAGATTAACGAAACTCTACGTAGTTTTTAAGGGAATTCCGGGATGTATCTTGATATTTAACAGGAAAAAGAGGAAAGCACCAATATAATGAAAAGCCCAAATCTCTGAAGAGTGTATAATTTTGAAATCCTGAACAGGGCATACGTATTAGGTTTGCTACGAAGCTTAGAACCCCCAAAACCCAAAAGAAAACGTTGGAGACCCTAGAAAATGTATGCCTAAATGATCAGCATGACGAGAGCTGATTTAGCTCTGTCCGCATATACGCTAACAAGTTTTTAAGATTTCCATCTGAAATTTTTCACACGTTTCCTCCTCAAGTAGCTATTCATTGGTCGGAAGCRCCGATATCGGACTATTTTATCATGGAGCTGCCATAAAAAATTAACGATCCGATTCAATCACTTGTAAGAAAAACTTTTTCATTTAACATGGTATCATACTCTTGGAACATGCTGCTACAGAATATAATAGTTTTATTTCCCTAAAAATAATCGAGTTAATTATAGAGTTGTATGTATAAATATTGGGTAGTCGAAAAGGTCTGTTCGTATTTTGTCAATAGACGTCGTTGCAGTTGTATATCTCCAGTGTCATATAGTGTTGGAAAGGTGAATTGCCTGTGAAAAATTTAATGGACCGAATAGACTTCTGCGATGCTTTGGTAACAGGAAAATAATGTGATTTATCTTAATAAAATTGAAAGACCGTGTTATTACCTAAGAGCTAATGTAACTAACGAACATTATGAAACTGAAAGTATTTCACTTTTTCTGATCCCGGCAAGTTACAAGAGTATGAAAAATTCGGTTACACCCGAACTCAGCTCTTCCTTCCTGTTTTTTTATTGCTTGTTGGGTAGATAAATTCACAACTGATAGATGTTTGTATACTATGTATGAAATTGTGTGCTTGTGTATAGAGGTTACATTTTATCGAATTTGGATATAACTTCACGGCCATAAATGAGCAGTAAATCATAAGAGAAATCAGCGTAAGCACCAGTGGTTTTTTCACTCAGTCACTTTGCTCAACTCAAGCTATTCAAACGCTTGTTCGATTCGGTGGGTGAAAGTCAAAGTCCACATTCAGTAAAAATAACACCAAAATGCATATGCGGCGAATAATTTCGATATTACTCCTCTGCATTATCACCACTACGGCAGCTAAGCGCTTGATCAAGCTCAATGAGCGGCTGTTAGCACGTCAGAATGTAAATGCCAGCGCTCAGTGGGAAGAGCGCGTCGTTGGGGGAACAAATGCCGATCCAGGATTCGCTTCATATCAAATATCCATACAAGGTCAATATAACGGTCATTGGTGTGGTGGCAGCATTATCGACAAACAATGGATAATAACGGCGGCACATTGCATCGATGGCTACAATCCGCCTTATCTGCGCATCATAACCGGTACTGTGGAGTGGGATCAACCGCGTGCTATCTATTACGCCGACGAGTTTTATACACACTGTAACTACGATAATCCGGAGTTGGCCAATGATATTGGACTCATACATTTGAATGATTCCATTATTTTCGATCAATATACGCAAGCGATACCATTGGCGTCAAAACCACTGGAGGACAATGCTGAAGCTATACTCACCGGTTGGGGTGACATGGCCTTCGGTGGTCCGGAAACGAAAATATTGCAGAAACTCACATTACGACACATGAGTCACAAGCGTTGTGCAGAAATATATGAGGATGAGGGGTTACTCGATGTGGGTCACATCTGCACATTCACCAAAGAAGGTGAGGGTAGCTGTAACGGTGACTCTGGTGGTCCTTTGATTAGTGGCGGTGAACTGGTCGGTATCGTTAATTGGGGCCAGCGGTGTGCTGCGGGCCTTCCGGATGCATATGCGAGTGTTTACTTCTATCGTGATTGGATACGTCGCGTCATGTCGGGCACATGCAAGACATGCCACTGTGAAGCTAGTAATTATCCTACATTTGGGAGTAAATACTGAAAAAATTTTAATAAAATATACTCATTCTATGGAGTGTTACGTTAAAGATTTTGAATTTTTGTGTTTTGATATCTTTTTCTTAAATTGAGGTAACTAATTGGTTAAAAAGTAAGTTATTGGTTAACCGCGATTGTATCGAAGCTATAATATCGTTCATATTTTTTTTACAGCACAAAAAAGGAATTATTAAAAATTATAGCTATATGTTATRGTGGTCCAATCTGAAAAATTCGAAATTATAGTGCCACTTTGGATAAAAATCTGTCTCAAATATCTTGAAAATATCTTGCGGAATAAAGAAGTTGTCCATATCAGAATCTGATTTTGATAAGTAAATTTATTCATTGTCGGCGATTTCAAAAATTGAGTATCTTCTTAGAAAGAAAAGACCGTGTTCAAAATTTTAGACCGTTATCTCAAATATATACAGGCTACAGACCGTACCTTTTTACATAAAATTTTTAGTTAAAATCTCTGGCAGTCTTAGAGAATCAAATAAAATCCTCTAACTTTTCCACGAAAAGTAAGGAACACTTTTTATTTGAAGGCAAAATACTGGAGATATATTTTAGTTACCTGAGTTATATTTAATTCAAAGAATGTTTAACAATAAATTACAGATACAGATGTACGATTGTTCAAACTGTTTTCAACATTCAGACTCCTTCCGACATTCTTTACAAAATAAAACGAAAAAATTACGTCTGCGTCTCAAAATCGGTACAAAATCTCATCGAAAACGATACCCGATTGTATTAGAACCAGTTATATTAATAATAGAATAACACTTGCCAATAGCTGCTACTTTGGACTAAGTAGCCAATTGAGAAGTAAAGTCCTCTCTAGAAGAACAAAGACCAAACTCTACAAGTGACTCATCATCTCCGTCCTGCTATATGATGCAGCTGCATGGACGATGACAACATCTGACGAGTCTGTGTTACGAGTTATCGAGAGAAAGATTCTGCGGAAGATTTACGGTGCTTTGCGCATTGGCAGCGATGGAATGATGAGCTGTAAGAGATATACGACGACATTGACATAGTTCAGCGAATTAAGAGACGGCGGCTACGCTGCCTAGGTCATATCGTCCGAATGGATGAAAACACTCTAGCACTGAGAGTAGTCGACGCAGTACCTGCCGCTGGAAATAGAAAAAGAGGAAGACTTTCACTCCGTTGGAAAGTCGAAGTGGAGAAGGACCTGGCTACACTTGGACTCTGAAAGTTAGGATTCCGGACATTCATACCCGTAGTAAACAATTTTTTATTACATCTGCTATTGGATTATAAAGGTTGTGACAGAAGTAAAATGCACGCTTATAACTAAACTCAAAACTGTTTCAAAAGAAAACATTATTATTTTCTTATTTTAAAAATGTATTTTGTTTTATTTAACTTTTTTTTTTCTTGTTAAGTCCTCCCACTGATTTCCAATCACATCTCATGTATTATTTTAGCAATAACTCTTTTAACTAAAACATTTTGTAGTACCGCTCGTTACACGACGAATCCAATCCACATAGAAATAAGTACTCGCGTGCATATCTGGATAGCCGACGGCGCAGGGCGTACCCCAGTTAACTAAACCGACCAATTTGCCATTGTTCACCAAAGGGCCACCCGAATCGCCATGRCACGAACCCTCGCCATTCTTCGTATATGTGCACATGTGTCCCACATCCACATCTGGATCGTCATCGTGCATTTGTTTACAAMTTTTATGTGGTAAATATTTCAAGTATATAATCTGCAGAATGTCGGGTGGATCACCGAACAACTCAGTTGAACCCCAACCTGTCAATATGACCTCATCGCCTTCCTTCATCTGCTCTGTCGGTAGTGGTATAGGTTGGGTTCTATCATTGAACACAATAGATGAGTTCAGTCGTACCAAGGCGATATCGTTGTGACTGCTCGGATTGTTATAGCGACAGTGTATATGTATGGAGCTAGCATAATAAGTGGCGTTCGGCTTCTGCCATTCGACGGTGCCTGTAGCGATCATTACATTCTCGGGATCTCTTTTGACAAGACAATGTCCGGCAGATGCGATCCATTTTTCGGAGATTATGGCGCCACCACAGAAATGATCACCGTATAAAGTTTGTAAAGACACCTGATAGGGTGCTTGGCCCAMAGTAGCATTAGTTCCTCCTACTACACGACCTTCAATCGCACCTTTTACGTAATTCTTTGGATATTTGATTAATTTGGCCTCGGCGTGGATACACAAAAGTAGTGCGAGTAAAAAAATCACCTTCATGGTGTAAAGCTATAATGTATATAATGGCAGTTTGGCGACGTTAGGTCCATTTAACTAGTCGTTATGAAACTTTGGATAAATGTGATAATACGTAAATTAWAAACTTATCTTTAGATATCACAAACAAAATTTTATAGGTCATAATTTGAATAATAAAATTTATCGACACTAATGTGCGGAAGGCGAAACAAAAACATACAAAAAGTGCATATGGGACTGAGTCGGCTAAGTTTTGATATTCATATTATAAAGCTAATATACCCTTCTCAGCTGTGTGCTATGTGTTTTAGTAAATCTAAAAACGTAACCGGCAGGTGTTTTTCATCCAAAGAAAAACATTTTGCTACTTATCTTATGTGTCATATATATTCTTGTCAACTGAAAAATCTTCCATACAAAAATTTATTTTGATCGGTAAGTTTATAAGGCAGCTACATGATATAATTGTCCGGTCTGTAAAACTTCCCTGGACACTGTATCATTGTCGTAGACATAAATCCATGCGAAAATTCATCAAGAAATTTTAGTGGAAATATCAAGGCGTTAATTACAAAAGAGGCATTGTAGAGGTTTTTTTATAAATCAGTTATACTTCTACCTTCCCATCGAACTACGTTATTACCTAGGTTTTGTTTTGTAACTACCTATCAGTTAATTAGGGTTTTAAAGCAGAATAATTATGTTTAAAAAATTAGTGCTCCATTATTATTAATGTATAATAAAATATGTGAGTGAAAAAATTAGGGATTTAATTATTTTATGGCAATTAAMAAAATTGTTCTYGCTCCTTATTCTTATGTTMCATATTCCTAACATAATTTTCAACTTGTTATCATACCTTACTACTTTTATTGAAAGCTCAAATTGGAAAGTAATTAATATAATAGCCGATTTGTTTAGAATATATTAATATATTTGTATAGTGGTTAATTCTGATTACAATATAAAAATAATGCTGCATTGCGGAGAAAATTGGTTCGCAAGGAAAAAAGTAATTCATGCCAAATTTTGCGATGATATATACCCAAAGTTGTCCATATATCAACTTGATTTTGATTGATCAGTTTTTTGGTCCTTAACAATTCTTTTGAAGATTAAAGCGATATCTTGAGCAATAATCCATGCTAAATTTCATGAGCATTTCTTGTCACATAAGAACTTAGTTTTGACTTTTCAGTTTGTATGGCAGGTTTTGTTATCCGACCTGCAATATTTCTTCAACTATTGAAACGTTGCCTTAAAGAATAAACCACGACGAATTTGCAGAATATATCTCGTTAACTGAAAAAGTCTCCAAAGCAAGCATTTGATTCCGATCATTCAGTTTGATTGCAGCTAGATGCTATAGTTAACCGATCTGAACAATTTCTTCGGATATTACATTGTTGCCTTCGAAAATAATCTATACCAAATTTCGTAAATATATCTTTTCAAATGAATACAAAAGTTTTCCATACTAGCACTAGATTCCGTTCGTTCAGTTTGTATGGCAGCTATATGTTATAGTGGCCCGATTTGGGCAGTTCCGACAAATGAGCAGCGATGAAGTTTGCAAAATTTCAAAACGATATCTTAAAATTGAGGGACTAGTTCGTATATATACAGACAGATGGACATGGCTAAATCCACTCAGCTCAACATAGTGATCATTTAAATATATACATACTTTATAGGGTCTCCGACGCTTCCTTCTGGGTGTTACAAACTTCGGGGCAAAGTAAATACTTATACTTAAATTACGAAGAGAGAAGTGTGAATTGGACTGCAATTTAYATATTGAAAGCGTGAGATTTTTGAGATTTTCTCATTCTCCCTTTTTTGGCGACCTCTTCCCGACCCTTCAAAACGGCCTGGTGCCACTGAAATACACCACATCTTGCTAAATCAATATTTGGGTAAGCCTGCTTGATCATATTAAACGTCTCTGTCGCAGATTTACCGAGTTTCACACAGATTTAATCGCGTACCTCTGCTCTAACGAACGMTGCATTTTCGGAAATGAAAAATTAACATGTTTGTACAGACTCTCTTGGAGCTCGGATACAACTGACCGTCCGCACGTTCGTTAGCTATGAACGCCCTCTATCGAATCCCGTTGGTGCGCGCAATGATTAAGAAAATCAATCCTATTACTTTCCGGACAAACCCTATATTTGGTCTACCAGAAGATCTGAACTGACTGCGTTAACTTGCGACATTATAATACTATATTCGGAAAAGTATGGTATGGTATGGTATGGTAGGGCTTTATGGGAGTCAAGGTAAAAATTTAACGATGGCCGTGGCAACGCATACTTTTTGGTAAAACTACATATCTTCTTACCCGACCGACCGATTTCGATTAAATGTAGTACGTGACATTCTTCTCATATTTCTATGTCACACTGCGAAAATGGGCAAAATCGGACCGCAACCACCCATACTTCCCATAAGTATATTTGTTTTTTTTTTTTAACTCTATTTGATTCTTTCACTTTCCAGTATAAAAATCAATAAATAATTAATATAAGTGGATACAATTTTGCTCCAGTGATTATTTAAAGTCACCACCACTACTTATGRCCAATAATTGCTCAAATCCAAACAAAAGTTTGTGAATAAACCTGATAGCGTGCTTGACCCAAAGTAGCGTTGGTTCCTCCTACTACGCGACCTTCAATCGCACCTTTTACGTAATTCTTTGGATATTTGATTAATTTGGCCTCGGCGTGGCCACACAAAAAATAGTGCGAGTAAAAGAAACATCTTCATGGTGTATGGCTATAACGTATACAATGAAAGTATACCGACGTTGGAACCATTTAACTTATCAAAACTTTGGATAACTGTGATAATACGTAACTTAAAAACATATCTTTTGATATCACTAGCAAAATTTTATAAAAAAAAATTTAATAACGCATTTGCATTTATCGCTGTAAAAGGCGAAAAAAACATACACAAATTACATATGACACTGAGTCAGCAGACATTTTGAAATATTCCATATTGCCTTTAAGGAAAATAAATAGTGCTTAGATTGCGTGAAAAGCCTGAATTGGTTTTCAGCTTATTTTTTTCAAACCTGAGGTTCCTATCAGGTTTTATTAAAATAAATTCAGAGAAAAAAAAAAAATGTAACGAAAATTTTTTTGCAGCTTTCGATAGCTGCGATAATGAGTTTTCCATGACCCAATTTATTGCATTGTCATTTTTATTTGACGAATGCCATATGTTGAATTTTTTCGGACTTCTTCGGAGCTACGTCGAGGGTGACAATAAAATTTTTAGACATTACAGTGAAATCTCCCACAAGTGGACACCGGGGTTAATGGAGTTCCTGCTTAATATTTAATATTGTCCTTATAAAAAAATGTATAAGGAGCAAAGTATGTTGGGACCGGAAAAAGAGCACAGAGACGTGAATAATGGAGATATCTGCTTAAAAGAACGTTCGTTAGCTCATCCAGATCTTGCTCTGTACACAGAACAGAGTATGTATGTTGCCTTTTATAATTCGGCATGAGAGAACAAAAACTATTTTTAATTCTTATTAGTTTTCAAAATATTCTTTAATAAGATCTGTACACTGTCGGTTGCGTTTGAACCAATTTTCGGAGCACTTTTGACACTTAGATTGGGGTATCTCCAAAACATGCGTTCTAGATGTACCAAATGCCTCCTCAACGTTGGCCTCTTAGTATATTTTATTTCTTCGGGAATAAAAAGGAGAAAAATTAAAAGAAATTGTTCGATGACAAGTCAAGACTTTACGGTGCTTTCCTCATCAAAGCGATATTTTAAGTACTCAAAAGTGCAGTTGACTCAGGAGACGTATGAGAGCTCGTATTGTCGTGGTGAAGAGAGAGCCGTTTTCGGTGGTTGGCTTTCCTGATTTATTGAAAGACAGCTAAGTAGTAAATAGCTGCATAACACTCCGAAATTACTACTACGTTGATGCAGTAGTATGGGTGTGAGATGTCCAGTTTTCTCTATAAAACRCCCAAACGTTCGAACAACTTTTGCTGGATTTGGCTCCTGTTGAAACACTAATACAATCGACTGATCTTTTCTTTCGGGCGCATGTGCGTTAATCCACATGTAATAATATCTCACGAGTTCATAGACGTGTTTCAAAGCTCAGCTATCGTATTTTTTATTTTTAAGAATTCTCCCGACCATATTCTGTTTTTTTAGCAATTGACAACGTGAGAAAAGCAATTTACAGTCAAATATTCATGCAATATTAAATGTAACTTGTCCCACAAATATTCTTTTTAAATCTTACGATAGCCCACATGACGATCTTGCAATATGACTATGCGSTCAGCAACAATAGTTACTGGAACTAGCTTCAAGAAATTTATCTTCGAGTGATCTACGATCTTGATTGCATTCGCCATGCCACCGATACACACCGGCTTAGATAAATATGACTTCGTTACAAGATTTTGAATTACGAAGTTAATAACGGATAAATTTCAATTCTTTTAACATAAATAATTTTAACATAAATAATAGTTTAAAGCTTTCGAAGCAAAAATTATCCATTCATTGGTACAAATGCACTGCCAACCAATAAAATGGCGACGAAAATAATGAGTGAAATAAAGAGTTCATAGAAAAAACATTTCTGCCAATCAGCTAACAGAAAACGTATGACCTATAATCAATATCAAGCACTTACAAGCGGCGTTCCAAAGTAAACAGGACTTTAAAAAACAAACAAAAATTAATTTTTTTTTTTTTTTTGGCAAAATGAATATATTTTATTCAAAATAGTCTCCTTCTGCTTCAATGCAGCCTTTTGCTCGGTCCAAAAGCATGTCGAACGAGCGTTTTAGCTCGTTAGCCGGTATGGTCGCCAGTACGCCGATGAAAGCCTTTTGAATGGCCTTTATGTCTGCATAACGCTTTCCTGTCATGGGCAAATGCATTTTTCCAAAAAGGAAGAAGTCGCGCGGTGCCGTAACAGGTGAATACGGGGATTGATTAATGGTTAAAATGTGATTTGTGGTCAAATAATCGTGCTTCGAATGTT